TCCCACCAGTTCCTGGACTTGCCATTGGAATGAAGAAGGAGATATCTAAGCTGGCCTGTGCATACAGTAAAACAACAAATTTGACTGGATCTATACTGTCGGACTCAACCACGAATTAGAAGTGCAAGTTGCAGTGCTCCAAAATAGTGCAACTATAGACTATCTACTGTTAAAAGAACATATGGGATGTGAACAGTTCCCAGGAATGTGTTGTTTTAATTTGTCTGATTTTTCTGAAACTATTCAAATTCAGTTAGACAATATCCATCATATCATTGATAAGTTTTCACAAATGCCTAGGGTACCTAACTGGTTTTCTTGGTTTCACTGAATATGGCTGGTAATTGTAGGTCTGCTTTAGTTATGTAGCTGTATTCCTATTATGTTAATGTATGTACACAATTTAATTAGTAGTTTAAAACCTATACATGCTTATGTTACTCTACAAGAAGATATGTCAAAGAAATAATCAATCTTCCCATGTTTTCTTCCATCTGCTAGTTCTATAGCTTTTCTTCTTCCTTCCTAATTACAACCCTTTAGTAGAATTCGTGCCTCATATCGAAAATTACCAAGTATCATAATTCTTCCAAGTGGTAAAGATACCTCAAGACAAATGCTGGGCATAGAAGCCACAGGGCATAAATATGCAAAGAAGTAAAAAGCTAACCTTTTCAAACAATATTACTTCTCTCTCACTTACCAACTTTACATTTCCCTGTATGGCCCCAGAAGATGACTGGTTAGCCAGAGACGGGTAGGATTCCTCAAGGGAGGAACAACCTAAGACAGGCACAGTCACAGGGGGGTCATCAGGAGAGAAATTGGGGACCAACAGAGGGGAGGCTTAGAACCTCACCCCCCCTAACCCCCGTTTTGAGAGAAATCTTCTGCATCCGTGTATGTTTTGTTGCCCTTGTCTAGCTTGGATTAATACTTAGTCTATAGGCACACACCTGATCATCTACATTTGCCCTCTTACAGCAGTGAATTGTGTTTTCTACCTTTATCTTGTATCTACCTACCACTTCAGCTTTTTATTTAAAAAAATAATAATAATACGAGAGAAATGTGGGATTCACATATAAATCAAGTATAAAAATCAAACGAATAATCATATTTGACCTGATTGTTTATAGTTCATGATGCGTGATCAAAACCAAAAGTTTCTGTGATGACTGCCCTTGCACTGTTCACCATGTAAGAACTTATTCACTATGTAAGTACTTGTTCACCATGTAAGAACTTGTTCGTTATTCTTCAGAAGATTGGAGACTGTTGAGAATTAGGCTTGGGGTTGATTAATAATTGTGCATTGAGTCCCCTATACAGAATTTTATTGTTGTTAACAACCATTTGATCAATAAATATGAGAGATGGCCTCTCAAAAAAAAATAAAAATAGCATCGGAAAATATTCAATATTATTAAATTTTGCTTTTAGGAATAATCTCACTATAAAGTAGTAGGACAAAACTATTCTTAAATAAATGGTACTAGGTATGGAAAATGAAGCTCATTATTGGCCACATGGGCTCAGGGAGCCTGTGTCCCTCACCTTGACGCTTATACATAAAATGAAAGAAGTTTTAGTAATGATATTTAAAGAACAGTAGAGAAAAATATTTAGCATGCTCTTAAGGAGTGGGTCAGATTATTTAGCCCATTGTTTAATTCACTGTGGTGATATATTTAGATCCTTTGTGACTTGGAAAAAATAAAGCTTTAAGAACAATGTGTATGTCATTTTGAATACTCCTTTTTCTAAGAATCTAATTAGATAAGAATTTTTATATCAACCAAACAATCAGGCCAGTACCAATATTTAACTGCTAGCTTCATTCAGTATGTTTGGTTAACTGTTTCTCTCACAGCAGCTCAAATGTTAGCTTTTTTAGAGAAGAGAAAGATCTTGACATCCTTCTTCAATCTCTTTCTCCCTCTCTCTCTCTCTCTCTCCCTCTCTCTCTTTCTCTCTCTCTCTCTCTCTCTCTCTCTCTCTCTCTCTCTCTCTCTCTCTCTCTCTCTCACACACACACACACACACACACACACACACACACTGAGTATTTTACACCAACTCTTTAAAGCCAATGGACTGGTGAGCTGGTCTTGGTTCCAGTTGGACTATTTCTAAATTATTAATAGCCATAGTGATCTCATTTGATATCCTGTTTGATATACTGATTAGCTACTGTGGTGCTAACCTGTCAATGGATGAAGAAAGGGGGGAAATTAAAATCATTCTCAGTTGAACAATGTGGGATTGGAAGTGTGATATAGGCCTTTGTGCCTTTGATAAGGGCTGATTTTATTCCCTAGAGATGGTCAAAATGTGATTAGCCCAAGGTTACTAGAATTCTCTGTTACTACAAACGTAGACATTTCTCAGCCACATAGTTTTTGTGTGTGATAATTTTGCAAATAAAGAGTAAAATGTGCCATGGTCATGGGAAGTGGTTATCTGTAATGATCCTCTTTAACCAAAATGGTATTTTGGGATATAGTGAGTTCCCTTACATTGGAGACAGGAGAATTGAGAGACAATTTGGCATTTTGTAACATATATTTCTTTGCTGTGTACAGCAAATTAGAATTCAGCTATTAGAGTTTCCCAACCCAGCCTTCACTGAAAATCCCATACTTCAAGAATAATAAGACACAAGGTGCTGGAATAAGAGCTAAATTTGCCTTCACTGGGCAAAGTGAAAGGGAGGGAATCAGTGTAAAAATCAGTATGAATTTGTTTAGTGTTAGTGAAAATTTGGTATCAACAAACTTTAGGGCCCCTTCTATTCCTAATTTTCTGTAACTTGTATTTGAACATGCAGGTCAAATCACTGGCACTTGGAATATTGTAATCTTATTAGGAGGTTTTAAACTGAATTTTAGGGCCTCCCTATCCCCATTTCTGATTTGGTAAAAATCTTTAAGAAAGCAGGTAAAGAAACTGATTCCTGTTCCAGATCACAGTTGGTATAGGCTTTAGATTAGGTGATACTAATGCCAGATAAAACCTTGGATCTGTGCAGACTGTTGATAAAATTTATAACGTTACCCATGACACAGGTTAATTGGGACGGCTGATGTCAAGGACTAAGGGTTAAGGCAATAAATGCACCTCTGGCCTTCTGAAACTAATGGCACTTTAGGCAGGAAAGGCCAGCACCATGGACAGCTCTCCAAAGTTCTGGTGGGAATGCACAGATGCCTAGAATCTAGCTTGGGAAATCTGCACTCATGTCATCATTCCACCTTTTCCTAGCTAACGGTCTCTACCATGGTCAGGCAGTTTAATTTATGCAACCCTGAGTTTTCTCAACTGCAACATAGGAATAATGTCTGTTCTACATAGTTCTTGTACTACACATATTAAGTGATAAAATGCAAGTGAAAGTATGTATCAACTATACAAATTAAAGATGCTAATATTGCTTTTTATTTACCTTTCATTTTTGTTGGCCTTTATTTACCTAAGGTTGTATTATGTTAATGAAAATTGCTAGATTATTCTCAATACATGACACAATAGTTAAATAAACTGATAGGAGAAACTGGGATACTATAAGCAAATATACACATTATTGGTAAGAGATGAGAACTAGGATTTCCTGCATATCTTGTAGGTTCTTACACTTATTACACCATTTAATTTTCATAGTAACTCTGTCTAGCTAGCAAAGAGTAGTGTAGTCAGTCAGTGCCATGGCCTTCCATCACAGAACATTCCCTATGTTACTAGTGCTGGGGTGGAACAGGTGGCATCTGGTGTACAAGACCAGAGTGACAATAGAATTGGACTCTCGGTTTTTACAAGAGTGGTCTCTTCTAAAGGTTTTCCTGATGGTAGAAAGCAGGAATGAAGGACAGAGAGAAAGGGTAAGGAATATACCTAAGAGCTCAGTAAGGGGATATTACAGATTCCATGGCCAGGAGATGGTACCATGTATTCAGGAACCCTTTTAGAAGGAGGTGAACCAAGCTCATTGGGATGACCCAGGTTTTTAACTGAGATTGCTGCAGGTCTGGCCATGGAGGGAAACCTCTGCAAAGTCTCTCAACCCAGTGGCTGAGGAAAGAAATGAAAAATCATACTTTGATATCAGTATGTGATAACTTTATGTAATACAGTGACATCTAAGTGAAAAGCATTAAACTGTCTTTATATCTGGAATATTTTAAGAGGAATGAAAGTCTTGTGTCATTAGCTTTTAATGTTTCCATCTTTTATGAAACCAAAGTATTTTTCTTATGATCCATTCATAAATTTTTATCAGACTTAATTTGAATTTTTATTTCAGAACAGAGTAGGGTATCTAATTTTTTAAGAAACATGAATTCTGCATGTGGAAAATGATCATTTGCGTATGTAAGTTGATGAATATGAAATGTATGATAATTTATGATACCAATTATGATATCAATATTTTTCCATATCTTTTAACTTACATATGTAAGAATACGGACAACTACAGGGAGATTTGTAAGACTTCTGTTCAAGTGCTTTTATCTGAAGATTAGCTGGGCTGATTTTTTTTTTTTACAAGTTTGATAGATGCTTGTGATTTTCTGTTAAATGGCCCATTGAGAAACAGATTGAGAAAGTAGCAATTTTCTACCTAGGTGGCATTTTAGATCCATTAATGGAGGGAAATGATTATTGTATGATGCTGTTGTCCCTCAGAACTTCCAGAAAGAAAATATAAATGATTAGATACTTAGACAATGATTTATATAATAGAAAGAGCTCTGGGAGTAAAATCAGAAAATGCAAGTTTGAATCGTTACTTCAGTACCTCCCAGAAGGCCTCACTTTGCTTTGTCCAGTTGTTGAAACCCCTGGAGCCACAATTTCCTCCCATGGAAATGGGACTGTCCGCCTCAGAAAATGGTTGTGAGATTATATTGGATGATGCATGTGGAAGTGCTCAAAAGTTTTAACACATGTTTTTGAAAGAAACTTTACTTATAATAAAAATGCTGTCTGATTGTATTCTACAGAAAGTGAGTGAGAAGGTTGGAGGAGCTGAAGGAACCAAGCTAGATGATGACTTCAAAGAGATGGAAAGGGTAAGTCTTCACCATTTAGAGTTCTCCTTGACATCCAATTATCCAGCATACTAAGAGGAGAAGGGAAAAATGGAAAGGAAACTGCTGTCCACTGGTACCTGAGAATACATGTTGTTAGTTTTAAAAACTCTCTCCTTTTAATGTATATTTTAAAGCAGAAAATGTAAAATATCTTGTCTCCCCTTTGTACTAGCCAGAGAACAAAGCCTCAGTGAAGGAAATATGTCATAATGTACTTTTCCTGATGGATTTTTGTCATCACTTTTTCAAATAGGGCCAGCATGAAGCTAGAGTTTGAACTGGGGTGAAATAGGAAGAAAAGAGAGGGTGGGGAATGATGTCCTGACCAGTTTGGAGCTTTTGAGTCACTGTGGCTTTAGTGGACTTTCCTGATGGTGCTCTGCCAGCCAGAGGCAGCAGGGCCTGGAGAGGGAGCCTGTGCAGCCTTAGTCCGATCTTCACTCTTGCCACTTGTACGAATCAGCTTACTGCTCTGAGCTTCTCTATTTTTGTGTTAATGTAAAGTGGGAATACTAATCCCTACCTGGGAAATTTATTAAGACCTAAAAACAGTTTTGTACTCTGCCTAAAAGATAGCAGGTTCTCAACAAGTGAGAGTGAAGTGGTGAATAAAATATCACCTTTCATTTTTCTTCTGACATACATGATGTTTTCTCTTATGATATTTAGGCTTTTGATGAAGAGTGCATTTGGAGCTGTACAAACAATTGTTTTAGGTGTTGGATTGTGAAGGGTAAAGGATCTGGGAATACAAATCTGGTACTTGCAGAAAGGATGTCAAAAGCCTGATACCTAGAAACCACATTTTTCCTTAGTCCACATCAGTTTCGGTAGGCTGCCTTGTTTTGCTGTTTTCACTGCTTGAGTGAAGAGCCAAACCAAGAAAATTCCAGGTGCTTTCTGCTTTATCTTTTTCAATTTTTCTTTCTATGAGTTTATTGATGAATTCAGCAATTCTTGTTTTGTGCCTCCTATGAGCCAGGCAGAGTAGAATACGGCAGTGAACAGATAAACAAGGTTCCTGACTGCATGAAATTCGTAGTCTAGTGGGGAAGGCAAACTTTGGACAGACAAATACTAACCAGTGTGGGAAGTTTAACATAATATCATGCTAGAGAAGCTTGGAACAGAGGGAATTCACCCACACAGGGTGGCTCTCCTGTTATTTAAGTGAAGATGTGGAAGAGGAGTAAGAGAGCTAGTATGTTTCTGGTAAAGGAAATAGCAAGCAAGAGAGAACGAGACATATTTGAGTCCCTGAAAAAAAAAAGCTGCCGGGAGACATGAGTCATATAAAATGAGATTATGCATTGTTTACCTAACTAGTCATTCTGGTTAAGTTCTTGAGAGAACCTCACTGATAGGATAGGTACCCACTGGAAAGATTTAATATGAGTCCCATCCGGAAGTCTGGGAAGCTAGCCTCTTAAACCTAATGCCTGGCAGCCACTCACTCTCCACTAGAATGAAGTCTGCATTGGTCCCTATTTCTCATCCCTAGGCAGTTCTAAATACCAGCTGATCTTCAACCAAAATCAGTAATCTCTGCTGTTCCGAGTTCTGGCAATGATATTCTACCCATTCTTCTTCTGCAGCATCTGAGTCTCCAGATACTGACATGTGCCCTTGACCATGACTTCTCCATTCTGTGGCCTGGAGAACTCTTATCGTTCCTCATGCATGTGAACATCTCTCTGGGTCTATTAATTTGCACCTGTCTCTGTCTACATCTAGTATTTCTTGATCCCCCCTTATCCTTTGATTCCTCCTTCTGAGTATGAAGGTAAAAGGTTTATTTCTCCTACTTTCTAGAAAATAATGAGTTTCTGAAGCTTTTGTTTCAAAAAAAGATATTCCTTCAATAAAGTAAAATTTTGCAAATTTATTGAAGAATACACTGATGGCTTCATTTTGGGGTTAACACCTAAGTAAATTGAGAGTTTTGGGTATCAGCACAGAGTGACAGTTGTCTTATTCCATACATATTTTGTCTTATCTATGGCTCTATTACAAATTTTTGCATTCTCTACCCATGTTAAATTTGCATTCAAAGTAAAGATTTCTGTGGTAATTGGAAAGCACATGCCATAGATATAGAATCTCATCTCTTTTCCTTCCTGTTTTTACTCACAAAAATATTTTAGCTCAGTGTTCCCAAGCCTGCAGAAGAATCACTTTTTCACAAACCTTAATGGTGATATTTAAGCATGTGGGGTAGAGAGACATTTGTTCAGCTGTGCTTTCAGAGCTGTAATTGGATAATAAAATGAAATAAATTTGCTATTGGCATCAGACAGCAATACTGGAAAAGAGAAGGTGCATTCCTAGAGGTTGTTTCTCAAATCAGCCATGCCAGCTGCTCCCTTGCTGAGATGCAGTAAGACCATTGTGCATTTCAGCCTGCACAGCTCTGCTCTCCCAGAGCTGTGCAGGCTGGAATCCTGCAGATGTGCTGTCTCTGCAGGAATCATGCCCCAGACCGTTTCTTTGCTCCTCTGCAGTGCCTTGCATGGAATTGTCTCTACATTAGTTTTAAATGGTATCTGTTGTTCACAAGCCTTGTTAAGACTGAATTTCTTAATATGTTATAGACATTGTGTGAATTTTTTTCTTCGAGAAGCTGCAGATTTTTTGTCAAGGGAAAGTCCTAGCATTTGAGGACTTTGGTTCCTTCTCAAATTTCCATAAGTTGCTGCAGTGGGTCTGTGGTTTTTATGTGTGTGTAGCTACATTAATTAATTCATATGGAATATCTGTAAATGCTTCCATGTGCCAGGCATTGTGCTGGGAACCAGGAATTCAAAGATGATTAAAGCACAGCACCTGCTTTCAAGGAGTTTCCAGTTTTGATGGAAGAAATAGGCACATATATCAGTGGCTTAGGGGACATGGTGCTTGGTGCCCTGGGGAGTACTCCCAGGGAAGACCTAACAGGCTGGGCAGGTCAGTGGAAGCTGCCTGGAAGAGAGAGTGCCTGGGCTAAATCCTGAACTTTTCTCTTGTCCCTGCATGTATGGATAATACAGAAGTTCAAGTCAAGGGGTATAGTGTTTCTTTTCACATTCTGAAAAATATCCTGGGAAATTCCATCTGATGAAATCAGAAGGGGTTGTAGGGTGAGAAATACATCTGTAAACCACTTTAATGAAAACAAAATTCTCATTAAAGCGGCAGTCTCAAGTTTTCAGAAAAGTAGGCCATCAAGAAAGAATGAGAAGGATGCCATTTCATATGAAAGTGAGGAAGAGTGGGGTGTTTTCAGAGTGGGGTGTGGGAAAAGGGCCTGTAGGAGATGTCCATGGTCATTTCATACATTTAATTAGTGAATGGGTGGAGAGGGGTTAAATCCTTCTATCCAACTCAAGTGCTAGAACTAGAATTACTGAGTAGAAGCTATGGGGAGGGAGATAGAGTCGGGCTCAATATAAGAAAGAACTTTTGGCTGAGAGCTGTTTTCTTTTAAAAAGAGCCTTAGATATAACTGAATTGCTCCACTGCCTGGTTTAAATGGAGGCTAAGCACCCAGTCCCCAGGAGCAGCGTGAAGCATCTTTGTGTCTTGTGTTGAGTAATTTGTCACCAATAATGTCACTTTCTGATAAGGTCACTCTTAGTTGAATTCTAAAAATCACTAGATTGTTTCAAGTGGAAGAGAAAGGAGCAAAGTCCCAGCCAGTATGCTCAGAGAACCATACACCCCTGTACGTGCCCGCGGGCACCTGTCGTGCCCAGGAATGCTGTCTTCCCGGGGGTGGTAAAAAGAAGATGAGGATCAGTCTACTGAGACACTTGCTGGTGCAGTAAGACGGTGAGGGCCCAAACAAGATGAACTTTAAAGATGTCTCTCTGCCTATCCTGAGACTCAGGGAAGACAAATTTCTTCTCAGTTATGTGTTCACAACATATTTCTAAGCTAATATTCATTAAAGGCAATAGCCAAGAAGATTAGGCAAAAAAAATACATTGGGGTAATTTCAGCCTAATGTCTTGTTTGTTTGTTTTTTAATATACTGTTTATTAATCGGCTTTCCAAATACATAAGATGACTGCTTTAAAGCAGAGCAATTTGGGGATAGGTATGTTAATTCTTCCATGTCAGTAGGGAACTGTTAAAAACATCCTTATAGGACCAGCCTGCCTCTCACCACCAGGCAAACTTCCCCAGGATGCTGTTCTCATCATGTCTCTATGACTTGTTTAATTAGATGTTCCCATTCGGGGTTCTCATTATTTCTAGCAGGCATGTGTGCATTCTTAATAGGTTCACTTTCTCAACTTCCCTGACAGAAAAATTAAGAATTTGTAAAGATCTTAGTGTTTAAGGTGACACTTTAACATTTATTTCTGTGTAACTTTTCTTTGTATGTAACTGCTGTGAGTTACCCCATGTCCAAGTGGTCACTTAATTCATACATTTATTATTGACCTCTAATTTAGTTCATACATTTATTATTGACCACTATATAAACCCACTAACTATCCTGCTCCATTTTTCTGAAACTCTGCTCTTGCCTCCCTGTGACAGCATGTGGTATAATGCAGTACGGACCCTATGAAGTTGTATCTTTCAGTCCCTTTGTTGTCTCACAAAAAATGCTATGTTGTTCACATGTGCTGCCATCTGAGTTCAGGAAACACTATGTATTTTCTCTAGTGGAAAAATGTAATATTCAGATGCTGAGATCATAACCCCATTCAATCCATTGTCTTTTGGTTCTCTTGGGTCTTATCTCTAAGATGGAGACAGCTGGTGAAATGACACCCATAGATTCAGTATAACATCTCCGCGTGAAAGTGGGACCCCAGCACAGGTGTTAGCAAACTTTTTCTGTAAGGACAGTAAGCTTTGGGGGCCATGGGGCCTCTGTGGCTTCTATTGTAACTCCTTACCTCTGCTGCTGAAGAGCAAAAGGAACTTCTGATGGTGCCTATACACATGAGCATGGCTGTGTGTCAATAGAATTTATCTAAGGACACTGACGACTGACGTTGACTTTCATATCATTATTGTGTGCAATGAAATAATGTCTTCTTTTGAATTTGTCCATCCATTAAAAAATATAAAAACAGGTAGTGGCCTGTATTTGGCTCATTGGCCATAGTTTGCTTATCCTTACTTTAGCATAAATAAGGAAAATGTCATAGTGAGAACAGAGGGCTGAGAGAGCTGTTTTTCTCCCTGCCCAAAATTGTAAATCACAAGATTGGTTATTAGAGGAAGAACCTCCTGACTCTAAAGTATAAGAATTACGAAAATCTTGGTGATTTGAAAATTGAAGAAAAGAGACCAGAAGACTCTATGCCTACACTTTTACCTTCAGAGAAAAACGTATTTCACGTTGTTTTTATTTCCTGCAAACATGCCTAGATTTGTATATATTTAGAGTTTCACCTCCTCCACAGCCTTCCCTAGTAGCAATCTACCCCAATACAGTCAAGATAAATTAAAGATATGGTATCTCAGGAGCTCACAAGAAAGGAAGTTGTAATTTAGGATGCATCAAAATTTATTTTCAAATAATAGGAAAATTTGAGGAAATCATTAGCTGTATGTCATAAGTTCAAAGTTAAACTGCTGTTTTCAAATGGAAGTGAGCTCTTGCCAGTTATAATGATGGAGTGGAAATCTTAGTTCATGCTAATTATATGAGGCCTGTTAATAAGAAAATATGTGCTTGGACATTGCCAGTTTAGGTGTATAAATAGCTTTCATATCAAGGGCCTAACAAAGTTCCTTCAGGGTTTTCATGTGGTAATAGCCTTCAGCCTGCCCATGATGGACAGTATAATTTTGCAGAAAGTTCTGGACATTATTTCCTAACTGAGGACAGAGATGGAGAGAAGTTAGAAATTGGTCAGCCTCCCATCTTCAGACAGCCATGGGACTCATCAGTCCCTCCAAGCAGTCTTAGAGCACTACTGGCCTGTGACATTTGGGACTACTTTTCTTCTTCCTGTCATAGTCACACTGGTTGTGTGACCTCAGCCTTCTCTAGGCTCAGATTTGCACATTGAAAATATTAAGGCTTTGGACTAGGTGCCCTACTAGCATACTTTATCTCTTGTGTTCAGTAACTCTGATATCTGTCTGAGTAAAATCAAGATGAAGATCCTAGTGAATAAATTTGCTAATGGCTGTTCCCTGTTTGTGGTATGTCCTGATAATGCAATATATAAATAATTCTACTGGATAAAATATTTTAGAGGTAGATTTCAAATGAAGGTTATTTTATACACTGATCAAAAGGGTTTAGCTAGAGCTTGTTGTTTACTAACGTCTAGTTAATTAGAAGTATTGAATGCATCTACCTCCTTGGCCCAAAGTCTGTAAAGATCTAGGGGTGGTATGGGCTCATTCATGGTAGATTTGGTCAAACCCCTGGAGATATTTGGGCAGTTTTTATTCTTATTTCCATTCTGAGATTGAATCCCACTCTAGGAACCAAATTTAATGCTCTTATATTGGTATCACCATTGCTCTGTTCCTCCCACAAGACCACTGGGTTAAGCTAAGCTAGTGGCTTGCATTTATAGAGACTGAGTGGTTGAGCTTTCTATTTAGAGAGCCCAGAGGGGAGAAAGTGTTTACATACCCCAGATGAGAACCACTTTCCATACCTTCCTCATTAACCTCCCTGTGGACCACATTAGATACATACTTCAGTACCTGGCCTCTAGAACTGGCCTATATAACTGAGGGCACAAGAGCCCTGTTTGCAGAGGCTCAAGTAGAATAGTCCTGTGGATAAAGTTTCCATAGATTTTTGAGGACTTCCAAGTAAAACCAGAAGTTGGGATGGCAGGTGCTTTCCTCCTGGGCCTGTGTGGTTGGCTGCTGCCAAGACCCCAGCCCCATCTGGGAGATGGAACCAAGGGGCTTGCAGCTCTGACTTGGTGTCTCTTCAGGCTGGGAAACGTTCTGTCGCTGGCCTTCTTATGAGGATCTTATACATTCAGGAAGTATAGCATAGTGGTTTTGAACACAGACACTAGAGCCAGAATCGGGCAAGTTTCCTGGCCTTTCTGTATCTATTTCACAGGGTTTCTGAGGATTAGATGTGTTAAGATATTTAAAACCCTTAGGACAATTTCTAACAAACAGAAAACACCTTATGATTATAATGGTCTTAATTATTGAAGGCAGAGATGGGGGAACATTGGAAATTGGTTAGCGTCCTAGCAGCAGTTGACTTCAGAATATCAGATGGTCCTTGGACAATTCAGTTCCTCGGGCACACGCACTCAGAAAGCGTGACATTTGAAATTACTTTTCTTCCCATCATAGCCACACCGGATCTTGGGATACATTTGACACAGAATGCCATAATACCTATCATGTAGTCATCAGGAGATCTGTATTTTCCTTCTGACATGCATGTAACCTGGACTTCCAGCATGTTTCTTCTGCACACAACCTTTGAATTTGTTCCCATGACCTTGAGTGCACGGTGGGTATTGGCACTTTGCTAACACTCCCAGGACCTCCAGGTATGGCTGTATCCTGCTCCCCACACCTCCAGAGAACCCCTGTTCTCTTCAGTACTAATGCAGATCTAAGACAAGTAAAAAGCTCAAGTCAACCAAAAGGACATGGTGCAGTTCTAAAATTTCTTGGAATTGAGGCAGGAGCCCTTGAACTGAACTTAAAACAAGACAGTAAATTCTCCATGGACTTACCTGATATCTGAAATTCTACCATCAAAATTTATTTCACTCATACCCATACTCCAAGCACATACCTTGGATAGGATGATGCGTTTGTTTTCCTATCCAAGTAAATAGATGAGTGTGCCCAGGCCAGACAGTGGGGCTGGACACAATGAATGAATGTGTGGACCACACATGTTGATAAGAAAAGTATTTCCTGGGATGTAGAGTGGACCTACGCATATTCTCCATGTTGGGAGAAGGACCTAACACAGAGAGGACATGGTGACCTACTGAATGCAAATACTGACCATTCAAAATTTTGCAAGGTTAGACTCTAGGGCCAAGATTTTTATTTACTGCTAACCAAAAGTTCAAGGATTGGTTAGAACTGTTTGCTCAAGAGTTTTATATACATAGGATGTTTTCAGAAGTTAAATAAAAACTTTCCATCTGTTACTTGAAGGAAGAAATGGTGTTGCATTATTCTTTCTTTAGGACACTGAAACCTGCCAGTAAGCGTGGCCCACTGAAGACACTCAGTTAATGCCTCTCAGGCAAAATATGATTCATGATCTCCACCTTATTTTTTTTTGTACTTTTATTTACATTTATTTTATGCTGAATTTATTCATGGGCCATACATTTTTGTTTCTTCAGTTCTTTTCTGGGATTATTATTATTATTTTTTGTCTTGTGTAGCCCCTCTTCTGGCCTAGGAACAATTTGCCATTTTCAGTGAGGATCATCTCAGTGTGTCTCGGTGAGCTCATGTAGGGGTTAATCCTACTCTGAGCTCTGTAAGTCTGGGGCTCACCTCAGGGGTTTTGTTCAGCTGCATGTACAGAATGACCAGAGAATCAGCATCAAAACTCTTACATTCAGCATTATTCTCTGCATTTTTAAGTGTGGACAGTGAACAGTCAGTATTCCCACTGGGTCGTGTAACTTGTGTTCAGCCCCACTGTCTGGCCTGGGCACTCTCACCAGGCCCTCCTTGTGATGGTGGAATGGCACTCACTGCTCCTGTGAAGTGACATCTTTCAGAAACCTGGTGACCTCTCAGGTGTATATACCCTCCATGCTGTTTCATGGGCATTCTTAGAGTGAACACAAATATTTGAACCTCTTTATATGCATGATTTTGTGGGGTTTTCTGGCTCAAATGAGGAGTAAACCTATTTCAGAGACCACCTCAAGCCACTTATAGGAAGAGGAAGCTATCTCCACCTCATTTTGCCAGAAGATAATAAAGTGCTTTTTGAAGCAAATTTTAGGATTACCAGGTTCCTCTTAGGATGCATAGGCTTCCACATCTGGATGGAACATAACTGAATGCAAAGCCAGGATTACTTCTGCAGCATCTCCAGCCCTCACCAGCCACTCAGGACTTTTTCTTGCTCTGGTGCACTGCCAGTGGTTATATATCTACTCAAGCAAATCTAAGGTTCTGAAGCTAATAATTTTTGTCATCTAGACTATTTTCTCATTTCAGAAAGTGGATGTCACCAGCAGAGCTGTGATGGAAATAATGACTAAAACAATTGAATATCTTCAACCCAATCCAGGTAAGGGATTACTTTATATGTTCAGGGTATCCCTCTAGTCCCTTTTCGTTTCTCTTTGATAGACATTTTAAGTTTGGTGTGCTTCTACTTTCTCAGCCCAGTTTGCTGGAGGTTCAGTGACTTCACATATAGCACTTCAAAGAGAGAGAAATTTTAAAGGCTCACACTGAAGCAACTGGAGGATTCTGTGGTATTTTATCTGACTATTAGTATATTTACAAACAGCATTGTGTGGACAGCTTGGGTGGCACATAATGTCAAAGTAGCTGCAAGCCTTCTTAATTTAACTTTACTTTTCAGGAGATGGTAAGAAAGAAGATTGGGATAATTTTAAGGTAGGATATAGTAATTCCCAGAAGGTGTGAAAAAGTAGCAAGTTATTTTTTGTGAAGTACAAAAGGTTTCTATTCTTAAAGCATCAGTGAAGCCTTTGGAGGGTAGTTGTTAATTCATGTTCTTCTCTAAGTATGTCTCAGATCAGTATTTGTTCCTGGTAACCTGTTATATTCTAAAAAAAGGAAGTTAGAAATAATGGAGTTATACCTTGAAAAGAGAAGTAGGCAGAACTGGGGCAGTCTCTATAGGCAGGAGGTCTAACAAAGCAAAACAGCCTACATGGGTGATCTCACTACTCTTCCTGACATTAGTTTATAGAAACTTGAAGCCAGGCTGAATGTATTTGAATGAGATGTATGAATTTTTGGAAAACTGCTTACTCTTAAGATTAGTTCTTTGGGAGTTTCAGGTTGATATTCCAGTGACCTTGGTGGTCCTAGAGAAGATGGTCCAGACACTGTGTCAGCACCAGTGTGTTTGGATACTAGCATTAATGGGCAAAAGGAGATGTGAGAAAAGAGAAGTGTGGTGTGGTCAAGAGCAAGGGCTGACTAGCTCTCTGCTGCCCCCTGCCGCTGGCTGCTGCTTTCATTCACCCTTAGATCTGTGGCAGCACAGCTGTTTTGAAGGTGAACAAACTGTGGGAATAACATCCTCTGTTTTTATTTCCTTCTTAAAATCGAATAGAGATTGGAGATTATGTGAAGAGGAAAATATAGAAGTAAATATCATAAGCTAAGGAACCAGGAATGTAACTGATGGTGGACCAAATGGTTAGCAAATTAGGTAAAGAATAGCAAAAATCAAATTTCCAATTTTTATGCTGAGCCTTCTTCATGGCCTTCATATTCCACAGAGATGTAGGTACCCCTAAGATGTCCATCTATTCCTTAGCATTAACAGCTATGATAAGTCAAGTTCTGAAAAGAGAGCCGCTTACCGTGCCTCACTGGAAGAAATCATTGTAGAGGGGCAAGAAATTTTTGTCTTTATCTTTGTGAAGAACTTTGAAGTGTTCTCTGATTTCCTGGGATTTACACATGAACTGTGCTAATAACTCATTGTAGGACTAAGATAAATATAGGTAAAGGGAAGAAAATATAATATTTATTAAGCACTAATGCATTTTCAGTGTGGTGCTAGTTAAATATGCTGTCTCATCTCTAAAAGTGATCATTTTTGTCTGATTGTAAAAATAAAACATAATTCATAGTATAGAAAAGGGACTAAAAAGCCACTGTAACATAAATGCTTGGTGGAGACCCATCATTGTTCCTGAGCATAATGGAATTGGTTGTAGGTAGGTATAGTGTGTTGAATAGTATGCCTTCTCAAATTTCAGGGCTACCCAGATCCTTAGAACGTTATCTTTTTTGGAAATGACTCTTTTCAGATATGATCTATTAATGGTCTTGAGATTAACTCACCTTGGAGTTAGAGTGGGCCCTAAATCCAATGACTGGTGTCCTTATAAGAACAGAAAACAGACACAGGGAAGAAAGCCACATGACGAAGGAAGCATGGATCAGAACTGTGCTGCCACAAGCCAAGGGATTCCAGGCCCCCAGAAGCTGGAGGAGGCAAGGGTCTTTCAAGAGGGCCTCTGCAGGGAACCAGCCCTGCTGGTACCTTGATTTCAGGCTTCTGCCCTCTTGAAATTTTCTGTTGTTTTATGCCACAGAGTTTTTGGTAATTTGTTATGGTAGCTCTAGAAAACTAATACAGCAGGCTAGCCCTATTTTATGCAAGAAAAAATAAGGGCCAGGGAATTTAAGAAACTTTCCCAAAGTTACACATACCCAGGAGGGGATGAAGTCAGGGTTGGAACCCAGGTCTGACTGCCTCCTAATCCTAAGGTCACGCACTTTCCATCACACAATCCTGCCTCTGAGAAGAAGGGGTTCAACTTCGTTTAGGTGCAGAGTGTCCTTTGCTTTCAGAATGGCTATAACAGAAGTTCAGAAAGGAAACAAGTTGTGGGGTTGAGACTTATTTTTATTTTAATAAAGATTACAGAAGAAGGTAATTGGGGGAGATTTGGACTTCGAGAAAGGGTGTATTTAGTAGCATGCTGTATGTACTGATTAGCTGCCAACATACTGGTTTTATGGCTATTTGAAAATTGAATGTACATCTGCCACCAAGGAGAACAATTAAGGCCATCACCATGCTATCCCAGGTTGGTTTCAGAAAAGTTATGACTGTGCAGGTCACGTACATATACAAATAAGTGTCACCCAGAAGAGCCTTAAACAAAACAAATTTTCATACCCTCATTCTACAGAATTTATAGGTAATCTGTATTTAATTGGTTTTTGATAGATATGATTTAGTTCCTCCATAAATTTCTTTCCCTGAGAGCCTGCACTGGCTAGAGTGCTCTTGAAAGGTGGCTGGTCAGGTACACTTGTGCGGAACCAAAATGTCCTTAAAAGGGGGCACAGGAATCTAGAAGACACCCAGAGGTACCCAGTCATGGGCAGAGAAGAGCAGAAAGAATATTCCCAACCTTGTATAGTTTGATAAATACTTTGACCACTTCGCCTCTCAGTTACGCCAGGAGCTGGATCAGCCGGGATGGATCACTGGATGCTGGCCCTGAATAAACAGCCTGGTTTGGGTCAGGGCAGAGGCTGACACAAGTAACAAGGACAGACGAGCAAAATCAGCAGACAGTAATGCTTTGAGGGTACTTTGATGGTATCTTGTGTTAGATTAATACCCTGGGATGTGTTCTAGCTTTCAGATCTTGTGGTTGTGGAGCATATACATCTTTTATATTCTCCCCCAACCCCCCACCCCACTTGCCATCTGTTATATTCTTGAAATTCAATTCCTATTACAATGATGACCAGAAGACTAATTTTCATGAATCTGTAGATACGCTCTTCGGAGGCCCCACATTCACTCTTGCCCACCTTGATATTTTTTTATTTTTAGTTATTTTGGTATCCTTAATCTACAATTACATGAGGAACATTATGTTTAATAGACTCCCCCCATCACCAAGTCCCCCCCACATACCCCATTACAGTATTACAGTCACTGTTCATCAGCAGAGCAAGATGCCATAGAATCACTACTACCTTGATATTTTTAAAAAGCAAATAAGATCATATCATATCTTTCTTAAAACCTTTTAATGACTTTTCATTGCTTTTAGGATTAAGTTTTAAATGTTTAACATGGCCTAAAGGACCCTCCCTGCATGGCCAGCCTGCCCTTTCCTCTCTATCTTGCCAGGCAAACAGTGCCTTTAGGTCCAGCATAAAGGTCTTTTTAGAAGCATTTCTTGACCCTTAACTATATTAGGTTCCCCTGTCAACTTCCCTCTCATGACTAGCTGCTTTTCCCTGATGGCCCATGTCATACTTACTGTAATTGTGTGATGTGTGTGCTTTAGCTTGTCTCTGCTGTAAGGACAGGACTATGCCTGTCTTATTCACCTCACCTCCTCAGCCCTTAGCTCAGTTCCAGGCAGCCAGTGGCACTTAGATATTTGAACAAATGAATTAAAAGCCTGGTTGACAGTCTTTGGCAAATGTGGTAAAAGTGCTATATAATATAAGGGAGAGAAGGAAAACCCTTCTCTTCCCTAAACCACCAGCGCTACCCATGTAACCAACACTTATCAAGTGCATTTACTTTCATGAGAAGACCTATTCTAGATGCGGTAGGTGTAGAAACAGGACCAAGATTGGACCCTGCACAAGGTATTCACTCTGAGGAGAGCAATCCACAGGACTTCACAGAGAATTCCTATTGGGAATCCCAGCCAGCTGATGAGGCGAGGAAGGGCGAATGAGGTCGCAGGTCTCTAGGGCTCTCAAGAACATAGACTAGAGAGCTTTTCGGCTTGGACTGTGAAATTATTCTGACAGGAACAGTATAAGCCAGTACAGATTTGCAACTACTTAGATATGAAAAACTTGGAGCACAAAAGTACTATGTACTAATTCCATTCTGTTTGTGAGCCCCTGGTGTCAGGGCATCTAAGAACAAAGATCATCAGAGAAGATGTAAATCAGTCTTCTTACATGAGTATTCTCATGCCTTGTGGGGGATAACAGGTATTAAATTAGCATTGTCCAATAGAAATAAGATGCAAGCCCCTTGTGTAATTTTGAATTTTCTAATAGCCACATTAAAAAAGTAAAAGGAAAGTTGAAATTGATTTTAATCATATTTAACCTAGTATATCCAAAATTTTAACCAATATTAAACATTATTGGAGACTTCAATTTATTTTTTTTTTTTTCTTGTACTGTATTGACATTTGGTATCTTATAGTTACCATACATCTTGGTTTGGACTGGCCGCATTTCAAATGCTCAGTAGCCCCATGTAGGCAGTGTTCCCATAATGGACAGCACAGGATGAGGTAGTTCGCCATTCAAGGGATTTATTATGTTTTGATACACATTGATGTTTAGCTCCATGGTTTGAGTGTATTGGTGGTGGTTTTTTCAATAGAGAAATGACTCTTGATTTTGGGTCAGGATATCTTCAAGTTGTAGTTTTGTTTTTTAATTTTTTTTTTAACCTTCTGCAACTCTGTTTCATGACACTATAGTGGAGATTGTCCCCTGAAATAGAGAAATAAACATGGCTGGATTGGGCTTGTTTCCTTCCCAGACTGAGCATAGTGGTTACAAAAGAGGCTT